CCTGGATTGATTGATTCAATGTCACTCCAAAACAACTTTAGCACCAATCGACTTCAATTTCTCTAAGAGCTTCTCACCATCTTCTTTAGACAATCCAGTTTTCAAAACCGAAGGAAGCTTCTCCACCAATGCCTTAGCTTCCGTAAGACCTAAATCAGTAAAACTCCTTACCTCCTTAATGATCTTGATCTTCGACGACGCTTCAAAACCTTCCAGTTTAATCTCAAACACAGTCTTCTCCACTTTAGCTTCCTCCTTCTCACCACTCTGATCTTCACCACCTCCAGTCACGATCCCGATCCCGCCAGCTCCGGGTTTCATAACGGTGACGGTTGGTAACTCCGTCATTCCTTTCTTCTTCATTATAATAGCACCGAGCTCGGAGATTTCTGATAATGTTAGAGATGAGATCTCGTCGACGAGTCTGAACACACGATCCGTTGGTGGACTACGATGCTCTGTTGGATCGAAAGTCGATGGATCGTAATCAGTTGGGAGCTTCCTCTGATCTATTTCTTCTTCTTCGTCTTCGATTTTTGTCGCCGGTTGTGAGAAACTCCGGGAATCGCCGATTCGAGGAAGGAGTGATAATCTGGAGGAGGTTTGAGATAACCTGATAGAAAAATGTTGCCGGAATCTGAGAACCAGACTCATGTTTAGGTCTCGAAGCTCTCGGAAACTTCGCTGATTTCGGAAACAGAGCACCGGAATCTATCACCGGAGGAGGAGTATCAGTTTGTAGGTGCGAAATGGGGTTTTTGCTTCATCTGGGGAAGATGCCCTAAACAGTTCTCAGATAAGAATTACTGTCCAAAAGCCCAATAAAGACCCTTTCGGCCCAATAAAATTTAAGGAGCGGAAATCACGTTACCGAAGCGGGTTTGTAATATTTTATAATTTTAGGGGTGGTATTGGATCTAAGAATTTAATAGAATCTAAAAGAATTCAACTTTAGAGTTAAACAATAGTGCAATTGCACAGAGAATTTTTTTTTGTAAACGGAGTTTTACTTTTTTCATCTGGTATACAGTATACTTATTGTTTTGTTATCAAATCACTAATTATTCAATTTTGTTAATAAGATATTTAAAATATTAATATGCACCAACAATGATAATTAAAAAAAAAAGTAGAAAAAATGGTAGAACAAAAAGTGAAAAAGATAGTGGGTAAGAGAAATGAAATTGTTTTGTTTTTTGTTTTTTATTCATTTTATTAAAATAGTTTTCGGAAGAAAGAGAAAATGAAAGAGTGGAATTTGAGACTTATAACACATGACAAATAGAGAGAGTTGCAGTTTTTTTTAAAGTGACTTGTGATTTATTATAATAGGATATTTATCAACAATTCTATATTTTTTTTTCTTTCTAAATAGTAAATATTTCATTAAAATAAAAAAAAAATATTTTAGGTTTACAAAATAAGTTTATGAACCTATGTGATGATTTCATGAC